AAATATCACATAAACCAGGTAACCAGAACTCTCAAGGGAAAACTCCACAGAATCCCTATGGGCATATAATGCATTAAAGTACACTGTGAATTCTACTTCACAATCTAAAAAATAATTAGATTTTATTACCATCTCCAAATGTATGTTTAGAAACCATAGCAAAACTGTCAAGACTACAGTGATGTTTAAAGAGATCCCACAAACAGACTTCTCTTGGGACATCAAACTCCAGAGGGGACATCCCCCAGGACCAATTTATCATGTCACATTAGTAACACATTCTGCCAGGGAGAGAAGCCTGGCTCCTTGTGGGATTCATTTAACTACAAACCCAGGCACTGGAAGCAGTTTGAAATGCCCAAACCATCCTGTCAAGCTTGTAGACACTGCTGCTGGAGGATATTGCTCTGCTGTAGGCCCTGAGTTGTTTTTCCTAGCCCATACACAGATTACTAAGGCATCATTGATGCATCTGGAGTCAGCTGAGATGGTTTAGGGTGTGTATGCAGCTTCTGGTCTAGAAAAAAAAAAAGAAGTAACTCCTTAAGGAGTTTCTGTTGGGTAATGTTCTGGTGCTGTTATACCAACTCCATCTTCCACAGTAACTCCTCAATGATAACACCTTCCAACACAGAACTCACTCTCAAAGTGAGAATCTGAAAAGCCTCTAAACCAAAACCAAATCAATTCTTTAACAGCCCAGAAACACAGCCCAGCCTACACCAAAGCACATCAATTTCTGTTTCTCAGCCTGAAGCAGCAGTCACTCATCAATACACTTCCATCACCAGTGGTAACACTGGGATCCTTCCCTCCTTGAACTGTTAAACTATAGAAGAAAAAAGGTCCTTGAAAATTTACAAGTAAAATACAAATAAAACACAACAAGGAACACAAACCAAATCAAGGCAAGCATCACATATAAATGGAGTAGGATATAGCTATAAATAAAGTGAGATATAGCCATACTCCATAAATGAAGTAGGATAGAGCTGAAATATAAAAGTTTAAGAATACTGACAGGAAAAACCAAGCCTACATTAAGAGTAAACAGTCAGAGAGGCAGAGGTGTATGGCACAGACTGAACACCAGATCACTGCTATACCAAGGCAGTACTTGGCAATGCAAAGTGCAGTGTGCACAGGAAGCACCAACTTTTCTTCCTGTCACAAGGATCAGCATCCATCCATATGTCAGAGGCTAAAAACTATCCCTAGGACAGCTCACCAGGAATACACACTCTGCTGGAACCATGTGCCACAAAAAGCAAGCCCACAAATCTCAGAGTAAGAGCTCAGCATCTGTCATAGCACCAGATGAAGTTTTAAAAAGTACCTGCCTTCATGCACCCCCAGATTTACAAAGAATTTGCATGGGAAAAAACAATGAAAATAATCTGTGACTGTCTCCAATGCAACACACAGCACATAACATTAACTCTGCTCCATTTGAAGTGTTCAGAGCTGTCTCCAACAGCATTACAGATTTTCATTTGAAAAGTCTGAAGGGAGACATCATTTAAAAATCTACATTCTCCTCTTTCCTACAGATGAATAAAGATGTCTCTGTTTATAAAGAAAACTTTCTGTAACTGCAAGAGCAGTGCAGTATAGTTCAGTAGAGTTTAACAGACTCAATTCATAGCACCATTTCAGAAATTCTTCACATCCATAAATTGACAGGAATTATGCATATGAATGCTGCTCTTTACATACTCAATGACAATCAGGATATAGAGAGTCCCACCTGCATTCTGTGGGCTTCACTACATGCCACTTCAAACTGCATAAAAAGTACAAATGTTTTAAAGTATTTATTCAATTTCATCTTTGATTCCACCAGTACACATTTTTAGAAAACATGACCTCAGTACTTATTTAGTGGCTTAGAATATCAATTATAACCTGAGTAGCTCCTCAAGAAGTTACTAATTCCACAGAAAACTCATCAACAAGTTGATAACTCCTCATTTTAAGAAGATAAATTCTGTTATTATTCAGGACAGAACTGTTCCATTAGTGTCTCAACACAGCAGAACCTATAAGGGCTGCAGTTCACCAATACAAATATTCCTGCTATACATGCAATTCTACTGCTTGCTTTTGGAATTACAAAATGCACTACATTCAGATGAAAGCACACATATTTTTATGTTGTACTATCTTGAAATATTCATATATGTGCAAAGACCAATTCAAGTACTTTTTACAGAAATTTGTGAAAAAAAAAATGTTTGGAGTCACAATTACCCATGTTAGAGAACATCTTAAAGAAAAAAAAAGCACTGACTTTTTGAAACCTTCCAACTAGAAACATTTCAAGAGCTTATGCTCAAAATCCAAAGCTTAACTGAGGCTTTTAGGCCTCTGGTCACTGACACTGCAACTATCCACATAAAGCAGAGAGGCAGCTTAGGAACAATTAGTTTCCATTAACTGGAGTGCACACAACACTGCTGCCACTGCCAGAACCCTGGCAAGAGGCAGAGCCTATGCTCAGTGCTCTTCTCTTCCAGCTGACAGTGATCAATACATGAAGTAGATAACCTGCTTCTGAATAAATAAATAAATAAATTGTGTGGTAAGCAGGGGAGAATGTCTGTATAGGTCATTAAAGCAGAGGTAAGTTGCTAAGCCCACTGGTGCCCAAGGGAATATGGGGCAACAGAACATGCAGTTACCTCAAACAGATGCTGGAAGGTAAAATACTTCTGACTAACAGGAATTAAAATCTCAGCCTCTACAGGAGGGGCTATTGCAGCTGCAACACCCCATGGAACACTGGCAGCAGTGGTCCCTCCATTGGATAAGCTGGAGAGCTCTGTGCACTGTGCTCTACAGCCCTCCTTCCAAGGAACCCAAACAGCAGGGCCTCAGCTTTCTTTAAGCCTCTCATTTATTTAAGAGCACAACTAAACTTCATGGCTTTAAAGTTAATCAAGAATACTGACATTTTCAGAGACAGCAAATGAAGAGTCTTTTGCTAGTGCTGATGTAGTAAATCTAATCAAAATCAAACAGAGCCTATGTCAGTCTCCCACTAGCAGCATCTCCCCTGTGCAATTTACTATAAAGATACTTGATTGAGAACCAACTGTTTTGTTTAATAGATCTTCAATCAAAAAATAAACAAAAGAACTGAACACTCTCTCCCAGCTCCTCCACAGTAGCTTCCTACTCAACATCTTGCTCAGATTTTTCCAGGTTTTCTACCACACAATCACAGAATAACTGAGTTTGACAAGGACCTCCAGAGCTCATCCAGTCCAACCCCCTGCTCAAACAGGATCAAGTGCAGGGGGATTTCCAGGACTACTCCACAGCCTTCTGGCTATCTCCAAACATGGAGATTCCACAAGCTCTCTGGACAATCTGCTCCAACACTGCTGCCCTCACAGTAAGTTGTGCTACCTTAAGTTCAGGCAGAGACTCCTGTGTTCCCATTTGTGGTCATTGCCTCTGACCTCTCCCCTCCCTTCCCAATGCACTGATGAGACTCTTACCCTGAGCTTTCTCTATACTGAACAATTCCAACAATTCCCCCACTTGCTCTTCATGTGAGAGAAACTCCTGTAATAATCTTGGTGGCCTTTCACTGGACTCTATCCAGTAGCTCTGTTTCTCTTACTGTGGAGCCCAGAAGTGGACCCAGTACTCCAGATGAGTCCTAACCAGCTGAGATCACTCACCTAAATTGAAATCCTTGTCTAGTACTTCCTAAAATTCTTTTTCTGCTGCAGACAGTGAAGAAGTTGCATTTACCCAGCTCAGAGCCCATTCCACTCATCAGTATTTTGCTAGAAGCTTCCTCCAATCTTCCCTTTCCTACTTTCAGCTGATTTCACACTGGATCCAACTGCCCAATTCAGCTGCCTGTGTTCTACCAGATCCTCCTCTAGCTGCTCATCTAATTCATCAACTACCATTCTACTGCATTCAACCTCAAGCCCTTCAACCCCCTTTCTAATCCTTCATTAGTCATCTAACAGCTGATGATCCTGAAATAGCAAACCAAAGAAAGATATAATTAAAATCTGAACTGCACTACCCCCTTAATGCTGCCAAAGAAAATAAATTACTTTTAAAAATATTAAACCATTTACAAACATTATTACAGAGCTAAATCAATATCTACATACTGAACAGGAAGAAAGCCTGGTTTTTCAAGTACACTTCTTGCAGTTTTCAGTATGGAACTTTCTCACAGTAAATACTGAACACAGGATCAGTTCTGCTTTATAGGTCAGCATTTTGCTGAGCTGAACATACACAGAGAGATTGCATAAGAATCCCAGCACCTCTGAAAAGACCTTCACTAGGGCAAGCAAGAAGACCTTCAGCATGAGGGCAAAAAGATTCCTCTGACAACTTTTATCACATATTGCTTCCTTTAATGAATGTTTCCTAAATGAAGAATACAAACCTCAAGAACCATTTTATCTGAGTCTCTAAAGGCTCTATACCCCAAGCAAGCAGGTGACATGAATTTGGGAGAAGGTCTCAATTATGTATGCGACTGTTCCTATTCTGATAGAAGAAAATCAGTCCTGCTAGGACATAAGTTCACACTGAGAGTTATGGTGTAACAGTTATAATTACGCTGTCCCATTCAGAAGCTCTCAAAGTTTTAATTTATTTACAGATCAAAAGAGAGAAATCAACAGACTAAGTTAGCCTGCTCAAATTCTTGAGAGGAAATTCCAGTAAGCACTTTTTCTGTTGAATATTATTTCAACTTAGAGACATTCCAGACATCATTTCATGTTTGGCAAACCAGGCCTTCCAACAAAACATTAATTGGCAAGCCATACCTAGTTTTGTACAATAAAATTAACCAAGAAACAGGTATGAAACAATTTCAAATATAACACAAAATACCAGTTGTTTACCTCATTTTCAGAACTATTTCTATTAAAACTACATTAGCTCTGCTTGTTTTGTAAGAGTAAAGTTTTAGCCCCACTTTAGATACATGTTACTAAAACCAGGGGATCACTTACCAAAGAAGTCAAATGAAAAGGGGTCCCTTCCACCAAAAAACTCCCTGAAGACATCATCTGGGTTGCGGAATGTAAATCCAAAATCAAATGGACTATCATGATGATTTCCACCTGCAAATAAAAAGGAAAAAAGTTACATTTCAGTTATCTTTACATATTCTTACTAATAAGAAAGTTGAGGCCTATAGGGTACTTGAATCATCTAAAGATATAAACGGTTTCCAAAATTTCTCTTTCAGATATCATTTAACTTGAGTACACACATTACTTCATCACTTTCCATAACAGTTTCTCTGTTTTCAAATAACAGTAATACCTTTTATAATAACCAGAAAAACTGTAAAACAATTGACATCTCGATTTTTAGAAGACTGAATTTTAGGCCCTAGTACAGGCATTTCCAGATTCCTGTCTTGAAAAGAAAGCTGCAGAAAATAAAGAAAGAAAAAAACTGCTGATTGTCAACATACCTCCACCTCCATTTATTAGGCCTTCTTTTCCATATCTGTCATAGATGTCACGTTTTTTAGCTACAAGGAGAAGTTGTACATCATGTCAGTAAACAGGTTTGTTGGGTTTGTGAAAAAATAAAACCACTTATCAGCATTCTCAGTTAAGCATCTTCTCAAAGCTAGTTTATTTAAGGAAGTTCTGATATATAACTGCTGAGCATCTTCAACAAGAACTGCCAAAGCAATTTACTTCAGAAAGAAGAGCTACTGAACTTCAAACTTAAGACCAGTAAGCTGTAGGAGGTCCAGTCCTGATGTATCAGAAAAAGTTTGGTTTAAGGACAAACTTCATATAGAAATTTGCCTTTAAGAAGAATATGGCAGATTTCTTCTTTGGACAGCTACCATGAAAAGCTTTAAGGCTGTGAAGGACCTGTGGACCTCAACCTGCTCCTCCACACAGGTCCAGCTGTGAAGTTGGCCACATCTTGCCTGAACAAAGCTTTGATCACATCAGTTTCTGAGAGAAGATCCTACAGGCTCTCTGGAGAGCAGTTCCAGTGCTCAAGCACTCCCTTCCTCCTCTCCCACTTGCCAACCCTGACCATTGCCTCTTCTCCTTTTCTTGCACAAGACCAAGCCCATTGTGGGAGAGTTAAGAGAACAAAGACCAGTGTTTATAAGAGTGACTGCAAAACCCCTAAAATTAATTATAACCATTTTTGCTGGCTTAATTGTGGGATATGGAATGGAGAATGATGTTCCAAAATGCCAAGGAAGGATGTGACTCAAACTGTTTGCTCTCTATTATTTTAGAAGGCATGGAATGACTATTAATTTCACTGTAAACCAGCCAGTATTCATGAGAAAGGAGAGAAAAATGAACTCCACATTATTGCACAAGATCAGATGGCACTTTGGTACTGGAAGGGAACCTGAAGACCTTAAAGAGGCAGACAGACAGCTCCCTTCGCCTGCACTGTTGGGGAAGTACCAGTCAAAAACCAATCAGGGCATTTGATTTTATTCTCTTAATATTATTATGCTTTTCCCAGTGGAATCTCTTCAGTGAAAGATGTTTTTAAAATTTAAACAGCATCACTGAAAGAACATGCAGTTACCTCAAACAGATATTGGAAAGTAAAATACTTCTGACTAACAGGAATTAAAATTTTATATAATGGTTATCATCTCAAATAATAGCTTGCAATAGGTTCACATGCAGACAAATCCCCAAAGCTTGATATATTATCTGTATTGCCTTTCTAGACAGCAGTTTTTAAAGAAGGGAGGTTAACCTACCCATCCAATTATGAAGAAGAAAGCACCAAGGCAGATAAACTGTCATGGGCAGGAAACAGCAAATAGGCCCTGAGGGCTCACAAAAAACAGAATTCATCTTGAAAAATGTTCCATTTTTGAAACCACAAGGTTTCCCACAAGGGAAGTGTGTTCAATGATCACCCAATTTCAGTATTTTTTTTGCTTATGTAATCCCTTACAAAACTATTCTTCTGCCAAAAATCTGTCATCATTCAAGCCTGTAATGGTGTCAGAAAATTTCATTAAGTTTGCAGAACATTTGACTGCCTCTCAACCACTGGGCTGAAGATTCTGCTATCCCTGCTGCACAAATGATTGTTAAGACATCAGTAACTTAGGATTTGGCACAGATCCAAAAACTGGCAGCACTTTTAGAAGCTGTTCTAAAATTCTAGCACTGTACTGTTTCCAAAGAACTTAGAGATCTGTTTAACAACCAGACCAGTATCCTATTTTTATCCTGCTCAAAAAAATTAGCTTAAGAAGGATAAAGTACTCTAAAAGACAAGCATACAATGAACTAATGATAAATTAAGTTCTTTTTCTCCCCTGTTAATTAACTATCAAAACCAAGCAAAGAAACACAGTGTACAAGACTGCAGCTCACTAAATCAGGCTGAACTCTGAGAGGTAATCTAGATGCTGCTAGAGCTTTAAATATAGCTTTCCCATGCTCACTGTCTCAGGTGAAATCAAGGACACTTCAGAAATAGCATATAGACAGCTGCAGTCAATTACAGAGGAAAATAATCAAAGAAGCTTAAATCACTTTGTTATGATTCAGGCTGCTTTTGTCAGAGCACTGGCAAAAGTTAATGATACTCTTCAAGCAGAAAGACATGGGTGAACTGTAAACTGCATTCCTGCACTACATGGGTCAGGCTAAATACCTCTTTCAGAACAATTCAAAATAAACACTGTCTTTAGTATCACAGTTGACTGAAATTACAGAACTCACTCAAATGAAATACAAACTTTCAGCAAGGTTTACAGTATGCTTGGGTTTTCTCAAGACTAGTTTACTGTTACAAAAACTAGAAGCTGTAGGCCCAACAGTGGATACTTCAGACTTGGTCTGGTCTGACTTTCAAGGATAAACACAATACCTCTATACTGACAGTAACACTGGCCTCACCTGCTGAGATAAAATTAATCTTGGGATTCACAGAAGTTCTGCAGAAATTTCTAGCAGATACTGAATTTCAGTTTCTAGTGGTTATGTATCTAGGGAGATCCTGAAATTTTTGTTTCAAAATTTCTGCTTATTCTGCCTTATCTGCAAGCATCTTTTTCTTTCCTTGCCTTTGAAAAGGAAGTGGTCAAGCTGGATGGTGAACCAAAATAACAATATCCCTTCAAAGCATCACAGATGAACATTTTCAGCCTGATCCCCAGAACAGACAGGCAGTTCAAGAGCCCTTTGGAGATACCTACCATCTGACAAGACTTCGTAGGCCTCAGCTACTTGCTTAAACTGCCGTTCTGCCTCATCCTTATTGTCTGGGTTTTTATCAGGGTGCCATTTCAGTGCCAACTTACGGTACCTGAGTGGAAGGAAAACAAAGGATATTTTACTCTGAAATAACAGAATATGCTATACAAATAAACATAATGCTGTCAGGTTAAACAGGTTGTCAAGGATCAAAATAAGAAATTCCTGGTGCTTTGTATATTGCATCAAGATATTGGGAGCAACCTGCAGGTACACAAAGAACCACCTACTCAGATATGTTTTAAATTAGAAAGTAGGTTTGAGGTTCCTTACTTATTCTGAAATTACTCTTGTGCATTTCTGATGATTAACATCTATGAGACCTAGGAAAAACATTCCAACAAAGTATCTCTGCTGTGGGCTTCTCCTTAGAGCTCTGTAATTATTCAGTACTACAACCAACCAAGGGAAGCATCAAGAGGAATCTGGTACATTAGAAGTTGATAAAGCTCCAAGAACACACTGATTGTGACATCCTAACATTAATGCCTTCTTTGCCAGCTGCACACAATTCCTATCCTCCAACAAAACACTTTAGGCAAAGTGTTCATAACTTCTTTCTTAGAGAGGCAAAGCTAAGCTTGCCCCCAGGTTGATGTGCTTTGCAATTATCCAAGATCACAGTTCCAATATTTGAGTTCATAAAGCAGCATGTGCAGGAATTTGCAAAAGAAATGGGAAGACAACAAAGTGTGACTACAAAAGCCATGTAATTATATCTGTCCCTTAAAATCCAAAACATCCCCACCAGTGACACTCACGCTTTTTTGATATCCTCTGCTGAGGCATGCTTCTGCACTCCCAGAACTTCATAATAATCCACCATGTTTCAAGAGTTCTTGTGGTAACAACAGCTGAGTCTTTCCAGTCCTGTAACAACAACAATAACTTGTAAATGAAGCTTGTCCAGTACTGCTACTCCATGAAAGTCAGGTAGGAGCCTGGGACTGCCTTGTATCAAACCTGACCCAAGAAAGACAAAGTTCAAATGTTCCAAATTGAAAATAAAACTGCTTCACTTTAGGTCAAGAGATCAAACAATTACTTTAATTCAGATTTTTATGTTCTTTAATCCCACTGAAACACAGTACACAAACACACAGAGATACAGCAGTTCCTGAAACAGATTAGACTGATAAGCTGAGTATTTTAAGAAGGGTATCTGGATTACAATTTTGATGTAGATATTAATAACTCTGAATGCAAAAGTTCACCTATTATCTGTGACACCTGTCATGTCTAAAGCACATATGGGCATAAACAAAGGGACCCATCTTTCACATCTGTTCTTCAGAACATTACTTCCACTGACATACTCCCTCCGGAAAAGCAATGTTTGTGCAGGGCCTGGAAATTTAAAACTCAATCTCTTATTGAGTCCAATAAGCCTTTCTTGTACTCAGACTTTGACAAAAACGTGCATGTTGCCTAAACTACTGAATATCATTTGCCTCCTTTACACTTCTCAAGATAAGCACATAACCAGCAAGATTGCTCCAACTGCAAGGTAACCAACCAACTCAAGTGCAGAGGCACTGTTTGTTAGTATAAAAGAACAGTTATCACAAAAGTCCTGAGAAACCCAGAAGTTAAAAAAGCAATTTAAACATTGACAGTTTCTTGTCAACATTGGAGAATAATTACAAGGAACAGTTTCACTGACCATTACTCCAACTAAATGACCACTAAGATGAAAGAACCTTCCTAAAAAGTTTCAAGAATGTTTCATGTCTTCATGCAATGCTGTCTTTCTCTCCACCATTAAAAAAATCTCCATTCTGGCAAAACTTCCAATCCCCCTTCCATCCTACCACTGCTGGCTTGTTTCAATTTAAGGAACAATAAACAGTGACCCTTTTCCAGTAGTTATCAACTTGTTGCGGGGAAAATCACCCAAATACACTCAGAACATAATACAGCAATGCATTAGTCACATTTTCTTATCTTGTGCATCAAGAACAAAAATTCATTGAAATAACCTTTCCCCCCTCAAGTCATTCAGTGTTTTTCATTTTAGCCCAGGCAGTCTCAGTTTCCTTTTTCCCAAGAAAACCAAGTATGATGTAGCCTAGTGAAATATTCTAAAATTAATTCATTGTACTACTTTTACAAGTATCTTTCAACATCCTGGGATACAAACACTGAAAAAATACTTCCTTTCAAAATAAATTGGTACATCTTCAAAATATGTTCCTGCTGTAGGTTAAAGCTTAATTACCTTTAATTATGGATTATGGTTACACACACATTTCCTCAAATGGCAGAACCAGTTTAAGGGATACCCTGCCACGCTTCCTCCCCTCTCCAAACCACTTACAGAAGCAAATGTACTGGAGGACCCACGTGTTTAAAACTTGGGTGGTTTTAGCAATCCCCTTAACCATACAGTCCCACAAACACAAAATTAAAGTGTAGCAAGTAAATAGCCCTTTGAAGAAATCTCCACATCAAAAAAAAACATAAGGGTATAGTTAATACTGTGACCAACACCAAAGGAAGTTGGGGGACGTGCACTAAAATTAAGAATGCCAATAATAATAATGTACTAATGGCAGTGTTCAATATGTAAACATACAGATTACCAAAAATATCCCAGGATATTTGCTATCAACTTGCTTCTCTAGCTTTGCTGTTTCCCATACAACAATTGGAACAGCTCTGTGAACACAGAGGCGAGGAGCAGAGTCAGGGTGGGTAAGTTTGTTATCAAATCCCACAGCCTTATGAGGAACAGCACATATGGAATGTACAGACTGCAAAGAAATCAGGGGGAATCCAGCATGAGTCAAGCTTAAGGCTAAAGGTCAGAGTCCCTCCTAACAAGCCTAAAACTAGCAAGCAACCAGCAAAAAGCCTCAGGACAGGAGCATATACCATAACACTAAACGTCTTTCCATATTCTCCTTTTCTTATACAAGACCTTCATTAGCTCTCCTCTCAATTCTGGTACCTATCTTAGAGGGAAAACTTAAAACTCAAGCTTCTAACTAGAAAAAGCATGTAGGAAAAGCAACTTAGATGTAACAAATAAATCATATCTTTCCCTAGAGAACTTTGTGCACACAGGTAGTTATATTGTTTTCAACACAGTATTTTTTTTTAAACTTTCCTGCTTGTTTAAAAGCAATGCTACAGATCTGTGAAGTTCAGACTCAATATAAACACCATATATCCCAGATAACAGAAACCTGAAGTTGGGACAAAAAAAACAAAGCAGAAGCATGATCACCTCTTAACAGATGACTCTGACCCTAAAAAGCAACTCCTTCAAGATGGAGAAATTATTTGTTTCAAAGAAATGTCTGGGGATTGCATATTCTGTCTTTAGTGAGTGTTACTGCTCAGTTTTTACTTGTCATTAGCATAAAGTCTGGAATTAAAACAGCCAGAAACCTTCTAAAGAAAAGAAATTCTTAATATTCTCCTTCTCCTAATCAAAGTGTCACCCAAGTCAGGTGACAGGAAGCATTCATCTCTAATATCCTGTTATTTCTATCTGCTAGTTATCATAAAGTATAAGCTGTACTGCTGAAACTTCAGTTATCATAGGAACTTTTTGTATGTAAAAAGGTTTTAAAAATATTTAGAAGAAAAAAACTCATCTGCAGCTTCTTTTGTCCAGCTAAAGAAAAAAAATGTCAGCCAGTATTTAGCCCCTCAACAGCCAAAAAAACTCCATGCACACCCACAAAACCCCCCTCCCCCAAAATATCCAACAATATTCACAAACTAGAAAAGACCTCCATCTACAATCTTTTCAGGACAGAATTATTTAAAACACTCACTCAAGAGAACAGCCACCATCAGCTTATAATAAAGCAGAATATGGATCACCATTGACTTAGAAAATAGAAGATGGCCAATTCAAAAGAAATAAATCAGTACTTCTAAGGCTAGCAGGAATGTGCATGGTGAAAATGCCTAAACGTTTCAAAGATGCAAACCTTACACCTTCCTGCAAGAAACCACCCAACTGTCCTAATCACAATGACATGACAAAAATCTTCTCCAAACACGCAATCTGTCAAATAATTTGTCTCCAAATATACAAGCAAGGCTCATTAATTAGGCACTTGAGAGTTTTTCTAAAGCAAGGAAGAAACCAGCCCACATTAGCTGATTTCCTGCCTCCATCCACAGAAAATCTTCAAAATTTCAGAAGAAAATACAAGCCAAAAAAAAAAAAAAATAAACCAGCTGAAAGAAGATGTTTCATGGCCTTTGTGTTTGCTCACAAAAATCTGTAGTTCCCTGAGCTGGGAACTGCACTATGTTTACAGTGTGTTATCAGCTACTCCAACTCCTTCTGTGGGGCATGAAAATCAAACAGGCAAATGCTGAAGTGAACCAAAGGTTTCCATAGCTTATAGATTTCTCAGGCATCACAGGGAAGGCAGCTTTGCTTTGGTTTACAGTGGCCCTGAACTACACGGACACAGGACCAGGCTCAGGCCCTCCCCACACAGCTCAGCCTGAGTTACCCAGAACCTGGCCCATAAACTCTTTACAGCACAGTCCTCAGCTACATAAAAAGCATGAGAAGCATTACAGAAGGCAGATATGTAGAGAACTCCAAACTTTGATAAGATCAGATGCCAGAGAAAAGCAAGTAACCAGACAAACAAGCAGCAGGGATGACAAAGCAGCACCCCAAACTAAACAGGGAATGGGGGAAAGCATCCAAACAAGAAATTCTTCAGAGCAGCCAGGAGGGAATTCAGACAGCAAGGGGCATGCGACCTTTGCAGTCAGCTCAGTCAGAAAAAGTTATCTATTTCTGGCCATGAAGCAAGGGGCAGCACAGAGAGTCCTCAAAGATGCCAGAACAGCTCGAGCTCAGTGACTGCAGCAGTCACCTGGAGAGCAGGATGGAGTTCCAAACTCCTGATTCACAAAGCTCACAGAGCAGGCACTCATCAACATCCTCTGCAGGCCCCACAGCACCCAGGTGCCAGCACCTGCTGCTTTCCATGGAGTTAACTGAAGGATTGGTGTCAGTTCTGCAGGAACAAACACCCTGCTCTGAAGGGTGAACTCACAAAAATCTACTGTGCTAACACAAAGTTTACCAGAGCATTTTTTAAGAGTAAGAATGCTAAGGAACAAATAAAGTTACCTATGAGTACAAGAACACAGAGTAAGAAAACCTGTGTACGTTTTGTGATTAATAAACCTGACAAACACATTTAAACAAGGCACCAGCATTAATTTTTTCCTCCCACTTATACATACACAGTGCAGACTAAAGCATATTAACAACTTCAATACTTTTAGCTTTTACTTACCTAAGCTTAGAAAAACTGTCACAGTTTAACTTCACAGGCTCTTGAAATTTATTGTTTCATGGAAAAATGTCAATTTACCATATAATTTAAATTAATACGATGTACTTAAATAGCCATGTTTATGCTCATTATTTTAATACTCCCTCAGTATCCTCAGGAGATGAATTTAATAAAATGCACATTCCAAAAAGCTTAGTTTAATCTCATGTTTACAGCAAACATCCTGCCTGTATGTCAGACAGCAGAGTGGATTTGGATACAGTTGTTGTTATTATTATACCAGTTCACCAGGGAGAAGGCAGCTGGGCTGGCTGCTTTACCTTGCAGCTCGTGTTCCATTGTGGAAAAGCCAGCAACAACAAAACTCCACCACAGCCAGACAAGAGGCACCTGACCAGGACACCCGCACCCCTCGAGGCAGGAAGCTACAGAGTCCTGTCCCCTGCTCTCCTCCCCAAGGGCAGCAAGACAATTCTGGCAGGGACTACAGACCTGCTCTGCACTGCTGCCTGGCACATGGAAAGCCTGAACAGGGCAACAAGTGAAAAACCATTAAAAAAGAGTGAACCAACCAAAAATGGAAACAGAAGAAATACCAAAATCTTCATCTGTGAAAGAAATGTAAGCTGGCTAACAAAAATCAGGGAAGGATGTTGATCAGTCAACAGGCCACCCTCACCCCCTTGGCTGAGACTCTCCTGCTTATCCATCTCATCTCTGATAAAGGGGGACTTATTCATGATCTTCCCTTAAAGCAAAGCAGCACTTTTCCAAAACAACTCAGGTGTCCAAATTTGGAATTGTGTCCCAAATATCTGGAACACTGTCACTCTCCTAAAACTCACCATAAAAGGCTATTTTATACAAAGTATAATAAAACCTTATTTTAAAAAATATATGATATGTCTATGAGTAAGCAATTAAAAACAGTGAAAGCCTCAACTGAAAGACATGGCCCAGAAAGTTTTAGGCAAATAATCACATGCAAACAGATGATCCTTTAGGGAAAAGAAAATAGTTCAAAGTTTCTACACATTTCCCCTGAAGTGTTTTTGAGTCATGATAACTTTACTTAAGCCAAAGAAAAAGGAAAAAAAAGCTTCATTAAAGAAAACAGCAACTTTTGATAGGCTGTCACAGATTCAGACTACATTTTAAGAGAGAAAAAAATTTCTAATCAGAAAAATTAAAGTTTTAATAAAAAATAGCTGCAATGTAGCTATGAATGGCTTCAGACTTACTATATGGCCTTTAAGATCCTTGTTAAGTACTGAGTCCTCACTAATACCAGGGGGATTTCAGTATTCAGAACAAAGAGAAAACATAAAACCTACAACTAGAAACTGTAGGAGTGAAATGCATATGCATGAATTATTTCTTCCCTAGCACTTAAATAAATAAAGCAGAATGATTTCATTAAGTCTAAAGTAGGGAAAATCTAACATCCATTCAAATGTATTTCATACAAAAGAAAATAGAATTTAAACTACTAACACCCTCAAATATAATTTTATTTTAAATCTATCTTGAAAGATACAATCATCATATGCAAGATCCAACAAGTTTTGACAAAGCTAAGTAATTTCTCACTAATCCTTCCATTGCTTGAATAAGACAAAGGAAAAGCTTTGTCATTAAATGTTTCCAGGACACAACTCAGGTTCTTTTACAAATGCTATTAGAGAAATGGAGCACTTCCTACTTAAGGAGCACAATGCTTAAACATAAACCTCACAGAGCTAAGTCGAAAATTACAGCAACGAGTTCCCTTCAAAGCGAGCCTGACTGCACGGCTCAGGAGCGGTGGATGCGCTCTGGGAGGCTGGAGAGCCTCCGGTCCTGTGCTGTGCTCTCCTGTCCTGTCCTGTGC